CCCAGCTGCCCGAATATTACTGTTTTTTTAGGATTTGTTTTTTTTACGGTGTAGTTTTTAATCCTGTTTTTTTTCCTGTTCAAAGCGGCATTTAATTTCCTCTTTTAAGTTTGTCAGAAGGTTCAATAAACACTCCAGTTTCAAAAGAATTAGAATTTTATGCCAATTATTAAATGGTTCAGGCAGTTAAGAGAGTTTACATGTGTTTTTTAGCACTACAAATATTGTGTGGATTAACGGCGACAGCTCAAAAACACTGTTAAATTGAATTAATTTAAGAAGTGTCAAATTTCAACCCATCCCTATATACTTCAAGGGGTTGTAACTCTGAAAATATTCATAGTATGAAGGTGAAATTTTCCATGGCTTGATTAAACATTTCATATTGTTGGTTGATTAAGATGAGGTTGAATGATCCTTATTAAGAGGGAGCATATTCAGTTTGTCCAACTAAGATAAATATATAATATTAAGAGTGTAAGGTCAGATTTAGTGGCTTTCTGATGCACTCTGTCATTATAGTCCATTATTGGTAAGTTGATAAAGGTTACAAACTGGCTAATGTCCAATTCTCATACCCTACCTCCATCTGGTAAGTCCTAGAAAAGCTCAAGGTTGGGAATTGACTCCGTTTTTGGAGCCAGCCTCAGTGCAGGTGTGAAAATGTCACACAGGAGTCGTTGACTGCAGGAGCTGAAAACATGAAAAGATGTAGATCGAAGGCTTAGGCTGCATTATGCAACATCAAGACGAGCAAAGAAAAACAGGATGCACTGTGCAATGACAAAAATATTAATAAACATAAGTTGGATTATGCAAGGACAAACTAGCGCGGGGATGAAAGCTTGTATTCAGCTCACATTTTTCTGGCTTTTAAGTTCATGCACAATTACAACACTAAGCAGGCAGATGGTGCATAGGTAGGAGATAACAACTACACTAAAAGCCAAACAAATTTTTGATGATGTTGCAGACTACAAGAGACTGTTTTTGGGGGGAGGTTTGGAGCGACTGGCTTGATTGTTCTTGTGTAACTGCGAGCTGCCCGCCTAAGACAACAGTGAGAACAGATGGCATCAGATATCTGTACTGTGATTACTGCCAACTGTCTATTCTCAACCACAGATGAGATGGAAAGTTTCTACCTGTGGTGCCGATGCAGCTCTCGGCTACCTTTCATGAAATATCTCCTGCCTCCATGCACTGTCCTTCACCTTCTGCTTTCTTCCCCACCCAGGCCTAATCATCCATGAGGGATCGTCGGTGTATCGAATCTTCAAGCGATGGCAGGCTGTCAATCAGCAGTGGAAAGTACTGAACTATGAGAAATCGAAGGACTTGGGCGACCCGGTGAGTTCGAGCAGTAAGACAGGCGCTCGAGGCTCTCGCGGTAACCCTCACGGTCTGGCCAGCAGCAGCAGCGGGCGACCGAGCAGGAGGCTAAGAACTATTCTGAACCACCACTGTGGATACACCATCTTGCACATCCTGAGCCAGCTGAGGCCCAACGACCCGCGGATCAGCGCTGCCGCCAACCGGGAGGTGGTGATGAGGGTCACCACCGTATGAGCGGCACGACAGGATGAGACCCCGTCTTTTGTGTCCCGATGTAAATGACAGGAGGGACTTGATGTTGAATACTAAAGACTAAGTAACAGGAGCCCCGTGAGGAGCTGAGTGATGCCCGGAGCATCAACAGACAGCACACACGAGGGTTTCTCCTCTTGTTTCATACAACAAAAGAAAGCCAGATGCTCCTTTTCAATAATTAAAGAACTGATGAAAATACAGGATTAAAAAGCATTAAAAGACATCAAACGTGAAACATGTGAACAGGCTTTACAAACCTGATCCAAGATGATGAGACGTTTTTTCCAGTTCAATATCAGGATGCACAGAAGCATTTTTTTCTTTGTTTTTAATCCTCTTGGTTTGATTTGTATCTCTTCTTCTTCTTCTTCTTGTGTTTTTTTTTTTTTTACTCACTTTGATTTTGTACGGATGTATGATTTTAGAGGAAATCATGTAACTCCATACATGCCAAGCATTTCCAGACAGCTATGTATCATGATCTTAAAAAAATTTCTACAAGCTAAACCGATGCTGGTAAACAGACCGAAAACTGAAACTAAACAAACATGTGGGCTCCACAGAGGTGACAACAGGACAATAAGTCATAATGAGTAAAAAAAAAAAAATGAAAAATGAAAAAAAAGAAACAAAAAATAAATAAAGAAATAAAGAAATCAGTAAGATTTCAGTTACACTTTTAACCTTTCTGCAATAAAGATACGTATGTACATTTCACAGGGAATTTTGCATGGGTATATAATTTTATTCTTGATCACATTACATAAGCACATGACAAAATTTGCTCTATTTCGAATGGTGCTTGCCAAAATAAACACTTAAACATCCAATTTCATCGCACCAACTTTTTGTCAGCAGGACAAATGGCAGTGTGTTACAGCTCTTTCAGCTAAAATACAGTTTGTTGCTGCTGTGTGCTGATTCAAATTTGATAATAAGTTAAATCATTGGATTAAAAAAACGGGGATCGGATGATCTCTTACTTCTCAGTCTCACTCAGTCTCTTATTTACCCAACCTGTAGCGTAACGCATGGTTTGGTTGAGTGTGTCATTGTTTTTCTGGTGTGGAAATGTAGTGATGTGCTGGAAATAAAGCGGGACATCCTTCATTTAGAATTTTTTTTTAAAACTTGATTAACCCTATTTACAGGGGATCAAGTCTGTTTTATTTCTCTCTTTTTCTGTCATATATCTATATACTGTTACTATGGTGAATATTCATATTAAACATGACCAAAGTTTCAAATAATGAGGTCAGCTCATGTGCAAATAATTTCTGTGATTTAAAAGCTCAGGCTTCACACTGATCTAAACACTCATTCTCAGGATGTTTTTTCCAACTCTTGGCTCTGTATGATGTCAGAGAAAGAGAGCGTCCCTAACATGGTCATCTCAGGCCATTTAACAGGTGACCAATCAGAAGAAAGTTGGCTTAATGCAATCATTTTCAGCTTCTTCTCCTAACTTGTCCTTGCCATCAGTGAAGTAAAGGTGTGAAGGAGAATTTATCAAGGGTTAGGAAAAACCCTCTTTATCACACATTCACACTTAGAATCGACTCCTTGTTTCATGAAGGAACCAACAGTGAAAGTATCAGTTACAAAAGCTGGACATTTTAAAGGAAAAGCATCATATAATGTAATACATCTTATTTTATTTATCTTGTTTTACCTTCTTTTAGAGATGACGCAGTTTAACTCCTTCACCCCTCCTTGGTTCAGTTTAATGCGAAGCTATAAATCTAATTTTGTCTCATGCGTCACTTACCCCAGCTTCCCCAAAGTAAACACTAATTCACGAAAGGCTGCAATGCAGCAACAGATAACTAATGCAAAGTGAACCTTAAATGCATTTTGATCAATGAATGTAGATCATCATGTGGATTTGGAGAATTTATATAAATCATGGTGTCGTGGTCTCCTAACAAGTGATAAATAGACTTATGCAGCACCTTTAGCTGAGCACTCACAGCTAAATCCACCGATCTTCTGATTGGTAGCCCCACAACGAGCGAATGATCCCCAGTTTGATTCTGGGAGGAGACACAAATCCCCTGGTGGTTGTGTCGTGAAGGGCATCTGGTGTAAAAATCTGCCAAATCAAACATGCGGAGCGACCCGCTGCGGTGACCCCTGGTGAATAAGGGAGCAGCCCAAAGTAGCTCGGCTATTTAAATCTGTGAGCTTCGTGCGAGGCGGCTCGTCGATAAGCAGCAGATTTTGTTCCAGCAGTGTGATTTTCAGAGTTCAGCTGCGAGTTTAACAGGCTGCTGTTGACAACATTTCAGCAGATTATGGCATGAAATGAAAAACACACTTATAATAACATTTACATGATATTCGCCTCTTTGCCAGTATTCCTGATCATCTTCATGAACGGTCAGATGGTCGGTCGCTGTGAATAACAGGATGGCATTTCCTCCTCTCTTCTCATAAAGGATGATTAAATCTATCGTCTTTTGAGGGAGGGGAGACAGGAAGCACTGAAGCTCCTTTCTTCAGTATTTGGAGACTTCAAAAGGCTCATATTGTGGCCCCCATGCAGATACTTCAATGCCATTTCACTTAGAAACCTTAATATTCAAACACACCCCCAATATAGGATGAATAAGCACTATGATTCATGCAAAGCTACCCTAAAAGACTAAAAGGATAAAAATAACATGTTGCAAATGTTGGAGTGTAGTGTACTATTGTAGTTTAAGACTGGATTGTAAAGCAGACTATTCAGCAAAAGGTGAGAAACAAACTGCATGACTAAGCAACTCCACCAGGAACATAACAGGCCATGCAACAAGGCAAAGAGGAGGCCAGGACTATCGGTGCATATAACAAGTCAATATCAACACAGACAGGAAGTGAAACCCAGAGAAAACAGGAAACAACCCTACAGAACACCAATAGAGGAAACAGGGGAGGCAAAAATAAAAAACTCAAGACAGGAAGCAAAATGAAATGATGAGTCAGTGCAAAGAATTTCACAGCAACAACCAAGATATTTTAAAATAAGAAAAAGAAATGTAAGTCCAACAGTACGTCTCAGATTTTAAGAAATTCTGCTGTAGAAAAGGAAAGTAGTCTGTCAGACTCTTTGGGTATAAATTGTAAAAGATAAATGTGTAAAATGACAAAAAAAGTTCTGTTAGGCGATCGTGCAGACTGTCCTGTTAATTCACAGAATATATCCTTATTTTATTTTTTAGCACTATTGTAAAAACCAAATTTCCATAGCAGTCGAAAATGTAGTGAAAAAAACAGGAGCTTTCTGTCATTTAACTGTTTATCTGCTACTTATGATTTATGCTGGTGCATTATGGCTGCAAAAATACAGTTAAAAATCTAAACTCTACGTCCTCCTTCACATTTTCCAAAGCCGCCCAGTGGGCCAGACTGGAGCCCCCAGGCTTTATTTTTGACACCCTTGGGCTGGAAGCTATGCATACCGTCTGAGAGGGTCTGTAAAAAGGAATGGCACTGGCATGAATAATGGGACTGGCTGACTGAAAGCGGCGAGTCGTAGTTTGTATTCCTTACTTGTGATGAGTTAGAGCAATGAGAAGAAGAGCCAGAGGGCAGGCTCGGTTCCAGGAGAGGTGAAGAGACAGCAACCAGAGAATATGGATTTCAGCGGAGGGTGCAGGGCTGCAAGCATGGATCTCCACGAGGCAAGGCAGGTAAGTCTTACAGGTAGGTAAACAGTTTCCTTAAACACGACACAGAACAAGAGACTGGAGTTACATGGTGAGAACAGAAGTCATCAATGAGAGCCAAATTACTGCGATAGTGACATAGAAAAACATTAAACACGAGTCCAAACATAACCAGCCTCAGCGGCCATGGCAGCATAAATGTTCCCCTTTACATTTCAGGTAAAGACCTAAGACCTCATCCAATGCATAGAATACCAACCCATTTCACAAGCTTCAATATCATAGCTTTTCCTACCTTTGGTCATTTAATAAGAATTAATTGAGCCTGGTGTTAAAGAAAAGTAGTTGATCTTTAATCTTGCCCTTGCCCGAGGATGACAACCCAACAGCTGTGCAGGAAGTTTGGTGAAGAACCAGCAGAACAAAAGTTTATCTGAACCCTTCTGCCATGCAGCTGGTGGTGCATAAAATTAAGCCTCTGTTCTCTGTCTTTGAGTCCATAATTTGTGTTAATATTTACATTCAAACATCAAAGTGATGAAGCTAATTACTTTATTTTACAACAGAAATAGTCTTGTGGCCAATCAACACACAGTCTTTACACTCGGTAAGGATAAAGGCTGCTCAGTCTTCGACCGCCAGTGAAACTGACTTCCTTCAGCTTCAGATTTCCTTTTTGTAGCCATTCTGTGTCAGCTAGTCCACAGTTACAGGTGCTGTAGAGCTGCACCTGTGTGTTTAGTTCTAGCTATAAATGGATGAGACAGAATTTTACACTGACACGAGAGCCAGTTTAAAAACTGCAAAGGACCAGATCTGGCACAGTGTGAGATGAATAAGGATCTTTATTGAACTTTGAGTCATGCAAAGCTGAATTCTGTCTGGTATGATCATTTTTTTCTGATACATCACTTTTTGCTGAACTGAAACTGAGATTTTGTTTAATAACTCAGGGTTTTAAGGCTTTTATTTAGCCTCTAATTCCTTTTTGATTAGATGGATGTAAAAAAAAAAAGTCAATTTTGCAGTTTTTCAAATCTCGCTCACAGATTTGTTGTATTAATAACTGTGTCTGATTCACAGAGCCCAAGGTTGTTCAGCTTGGCCTCACAGCTGTTACTGACTAAATCTGACTCTATCTATATGCTTTTTCATTTTAAAAAAATATCCTTACACTTAAAGGATGACTAAAAGTCTTTCTGTAAGAGCCAAGAAGATCACAGTTAAAGTCATAGTTGGTTAAAAAGCTTATTCCTCGAAGAGCAGGGTTCCAAGGTCCTTGAAGCTACAACTAGCTTCCTTCTGCTTTAAATTCAACAATAATCATCATCATCATCATCATCATCATCATCATATTGGTCACAATTTTCTAAGTAAGCCATTAATCTTAAATCATAACCTTGGAAAAGCTGGGCATCTTATTACTTTCTATAAGACTATAAAAGAAACATTACCAGTATTGTGGCAACTGTGCTGGGAGCTCTCTGCCTGAGGTTAAAGTATTAGCCAAACACAGACAAAAACAGCAAAAAGTATATTTTCTTGAGTATTTATGCAGCATTATCTGCACAGACGTGTCCGGTGAAGTAATGAGGGCTTCAACAGACGTTCTTTTGTGCCCTGAAGTATGATGCAATACTGGGTTTTACTTAAGAGTTCGCATAACCTTAAACTAAAACATCAGACCAGAGCACAACAGTCCCAGCAGATGTCATCCTGAATCAGCTGACAGCCCAGCTGATAAGCATCTATTTAATGAATCGCATACATACGCTGCTACTGCAGTCTGCTGCTGCACACATGCAAGCCGCTTTGCAAACCACTTCCATGAGCTCACAACACATATTTCAACACAAACACGTGACCCAGTCATAAAACAGGTCGGGAAATTTGTACCAAAGCCTCCACATGTGTGCTGACAAATGTCGTCAGCTCATCAGTAAACATCTCCTGCACAGTTATTTTAGTTATTTTAATTTTGTAAGTGAATTGACTAAAACTAAACTAGACTAAAACATCAACACTTTGTTTTATATATATATATATATATATATATATATATATACACATTTTTTTTTTTTTTACATTTAATAAAGTATAATCGCCTCGACAGGGGCAAATAACAATAATAAAATAAATAGGTTCTCTGTGCCAGCGTTGATTTTATTAGTAATTCTTTTTTCCCAGCTCTAGTCGCTCAGTTTGCCTGTTGTTAAAAAGAACGATGAATCCGGAGTTTCAGAATATAAAACCAGCAGATGAAGCTGGTGTGTGATGTTCAAACGTGGAGAGCACCGTGTAACTGAGGCGTCAGTAAAATAAAAGCTCAGCACAGTGACACATCAGTGCAGTGAGCTCTCAGCAGAGTGGCGCTTCCGGAGTGTAAATCAGTCAGCATTTGTCGCCACCTAGTGGCTGCTCTCATTGTTGTAACTCACTCCAGAGAATGGCTCAAGTCTCTCTTGGACATAAAAACAAATCACAGCTCTTGCTGCTGCTAGAGGGCGTACAGACACCTGCAGCAGGAGGTGACTGCACTCTTTAAATGTATCCTTGCAACAACATATCTGATAAGGACAATAATTATGGCTTTGGATTAAATATGTTCATTTTACAAAGCAAACATCTCGATTTTTAATTTTTGCATGAAAGCAACCCTGTTAAATTCACATTACATGTAAATACTGCAACAGCAGTATACCACAATTAAAGGGTTGAGAGCATGGCATCTTTTGTATTTTTTGTTAATAATTTCAGCATTTTAAAAATTAAAATACAAAACAAACACACATTTTGTCTCCAGCTTCCAGTATGTTTGGACTCTTAGTGTTTTAGAAACCTTATTCAGACCTTTTCACCTGTCTGCCTGTCTGAGTAGTTTTATTTCTCAGCTTCGCTCATATTCTTTTCTTTACATGTTCTCTTTTTAGTTTATGTGTTTAGGATATTATAGCACGGATTTATAGTGTCACATAAACTTTTAGTGTTTAATGGGATTTGTTGTTTCCTGTTGTATAAAGCTACATAATCACAGGAACTTGTTGTCATGTGCAAGGAAAGATAATTTTAGCCCCTGAGTGTCCTCATTAAACTGCACTGTTGATGCAAGCTGCAATTAAATCGTTGTTTGGTCAACAAGACACCAATCTGCAACAGGATTAACAAGGATTTAGAAACATTCTTCTCTTCCACATCCATTTCTTTGTCTTGTCTAATTTTAAATCGAATAATTTTGCACCACAGTTGGTTTAATTAACTGTAAAGCAAACAAAAGACGTGTTTTATTGTACTGTGCGATTTTAAAAATGAAACAAACTATTTAATCAGTATTCTTGTGGTTAATTTGCACTATTTAAAGTTATAACAAGAGCAAAACACACACAAGTTTGGTATCTTAACACTGGCTCACAGTGTTTTTAGATTCATTGTCTCACTTTTAACAAGCCAGTACATTTAGCACATTGTTGCTCCTAATAATAACTTCATTATTGATTGATTTGCTAGTTAAACAGCAGTGATAAGTGGCTTGTTTTGCCCAGTCTGGTTTCTGGACGGTTTCCGGGTTATAAATTAAGTTTAAAATAAATAATTAATAAGCTAGTGCCGCCCAATTTAGGGACCTGACTCACACCAGGTGTCTTGAAAGATGATTACAGGTTAGTATTAAATGACTAAAAGCTAAATTCTTTAGAGAAATGTATCTAAAGCTACAATTTTACCTGATTAAAAGTAAAAGTAAGTTTCTCATGGACACAGACGTGCGTCAACCTCGTTATGGAGGTTGTGGGAACGGCTGCATTAGGTTCCTTTAATTTATGTTTTGATGGTCTTCTGTCAGTGTCTGTATTGCTAATCCCGGCAGTATGGAAAGGTGTTGATGTGTTGTGTATTTGTATAGCTGTCACTATTAATTAACCATACTCACTTATTTTACAAAGCCAATGTCGAGACTCTGAATAAAACCAATAATGTGACATCTTTGTGTACTATAAGTTTTACATTTTGGAACATTTAACCAAATGGGGAATCAAGGAACTCATTAAAATCCCAATAATATCCATGCTCATGATAAGTGGATGTAAACCTCTGATTACAACTGTAGCATTGCTCTTATTTTTTTATTCAGGTTTTATTCAGGTTTTTAAATGTTAACGTTATACTTAAGTTGTCAGAGATTAATAAAAAGCTGTCAGATAATACAAATATACAGCGTCCCTAAAAGAACATGAGGTGTGGCGTGAAAGTGAAATTCCTTTTTTATTCAGACATTGAGACGCAAGTAAAACTTTAAATTCAATTTTGCATAATAAGCAGTTAAAGTCTGTCTATTCTAATGAAAGCTAAAATGTGCACAGAAAATTACCATATACGTACAGAGATGTGATTATTCTTTTACAAAACCTGCTATGTAAGTCAGGCTATAAAGATACATATATTTTTGAATACAAAAAAATAGGTTTTCGTGTAAATTTCGCAGATAAAAGGTTAATAATTGCGTTTAACGTCCAAAGTTTGAAGCGGTAAAGTGAATAATTTCACTTCCCTGTAATTTGAGAGCACTCTAGTCTGTTTATGTACCTGTCACTACCTCATGTGGACTTTACTTTGAAAATTGCAGCTCGGAACGTTTGATGTGACTTTAATTTTGAATTGAAGCCAGCACAAAAAAGAAAAAAAGAAAGAAAAAAAAGCTGACGCGTGGATTTCAGCTTCACTCCCACCCGGACGAGTGTGAAAATTAATGTTTCATTAAAATATTAACCAGGTCGTTCGCTTTATTTTGAAATCTCCTGCACAAGATCTCATTTCCTGCTGTTCAGCTCAGGTTGTTCGGGCAAACCTGGTCACGTGGTAGAAAGTGGCAAGAGGACGGGATCATTTATCAAAGTTTAAGGTTATATGTGTGACTTTGTCCTCAGGGAGATTCCCCTTCCTCCTCCTCCTCCTCCTCCTCTTTACCTGCACGATAAGTCAACACCTTCAGTCGTGGAGAGGATGTCCAACCTGCCGGATGTTCCTGCTCCGCGTAAATTCCACTGGATCCAAGAAGGAAGCGAGGACACGTTTAGCGGCTTGGAGTTCAGAAGTTTAGTTCTGGTTTCGTCCGATGAGAAGATTTCAAAGTGTTAAAGACACAAAGAAGAAACATGTTTTCCTTCCTGCGCTCAGGTGAGTTTTCCCTTTGGATTGTTTCCTCGTGGAGCACAGGTGATGATGCCTGGAGATCTACACAGACACAAATTAAGGATATTATAGTGACAGATTTATCGTGTCACAGAGTTCATATTAACCTAGTCGTGTTTATTGGGTTTATCGTTTCCTGTTGTATAAAGTTACACTATCACAGGAACTTGTTAGGTAATTATACCCCCTTAACTGCCCTCATTAAATTTACAGTATTGATGCGAGCTGCAGTTAAATCAGTAAAGTAACCCGTGTGTTATATTATAAAATTCTAAATGACTCTATAATAAAAGTAATTGTCCATCTGTGGAAGTTTAATTGTACCAATATTATTTAGAAGTGTGTGATGAGCGCTGTAAACAGAAAATATGTGCGTAAAATACTGATACTTATAAATGTGTGATTACAGGCTTCTTTTCTGATGTGATTTCAAATAAAATGCTTAATCATTTAAAAAGCATGCTGTTATGAATAAAAACTGTAACTATTGAGCTGAATGAGCAACAAAAGCAATGTAACATTATTTTTGGGGGGCTCAGGCTTTTATTAGAGGTACACGGTGGGTGTCTGCATCTGTTAGCCTGTAAGACTGGAAAGTGTCTGATTGAGAGAAGCTTCATTTTTCAGCATGACAGTGATCCCAAACACACTGTCAGTGCAGTAAAGTCATACCTGCACAGAAAAGTATACAGTGGAAGTCTATCAGTCATGGATTGGCCTCCCCAGAGCCTGGACCCCGACATTATAGAAGCATTATAGGGACATCTGGACAGAGGACAGAAGAAAAAATGAGCCAACATCCAAAGTAGAGCTTCGAAAGTCCTTCCAGAGGCCTGGAGAACTAACCCCGAAGACTGGTCACACCAAATATCGACTTTCAAGCTCGTTATAATTGTACAAACTCTGTTTTTTATCTTATATTGCACATGTTTCAATAAATCTTTGCACCTTTTTCACATTTTGCAAGAAAAATTTAAAAACTGAGGCGTGACTCAAGACGTTTGCACAGCACCGCACATGTCTTTTGAAGTATTAGAATACATAATACATACACATATGAGAGAACTGAGTGGAGCCCCGACTACACATTTGTACATAGTTTCTCATAGTTTTCTGTGTGTGAAGGATTTGATTCTGTGTATGTACTCTGATTACATAAATCACTTTAATCCCAGTATAATTACCTGTTTGCTTCCAGGCAGAAACCCCGCTCCTGAGCAGATCCACATTACCTCGCTACCTCCCAGTATTCCCACAGACCAGGAGCCAGAGCAAGCTGAAGGACAAGGTGAGGATGTTTATCCTGTACACAACGTTTTTTTTAAGGACTCATCACATTTTTATGAAATACATGAAACCTTTCAGCCAGACTCACTCAGCGACATGGAGCGCTACAGGAAGCCGTTACAGCGTCGTGACAACAAAACACAAATCTGCTCCGTGTCGGGGGAAGTGAAGCATCAGCTCCTCTTTTCCCCTAAAAGCAGAACAAACTGTTGACTTTTATCGTATTATTAATTCATCTCTGTTCAACCAAGACTCGAACTTTGCTTTCCCTTTCCAGGCGTTAACAACTTGCCTCCAAATAGATTTCTCAACAAATTTGTGTACAAGAGAATTAATTTGAGTCCTCTGATTTTTTTTATTTTGCATCTTTTTTCAATTAAAATATGGAGACCATTAAATTACTAGCTTGCAGTATTTCTGTCTCCTTTTGGAGTCTCATTTCACAGCTGACCAGGGTTATGGTGGTGCATCTTCCACAGACATGCATCTTAGGTTACCTGATTCTAAATTGGACGTAGGTGTAAATGATGGTTGTCTCTGTGCTGTGGAAACCTCTCCTAGATATACAGTGGGGCAAAAAAGTATTTAGTCAGCCACCGATTGTGCAAGTTCCCCCACTTAAAATGATGACAGAGGTCAGTAATTTGCACCAGAGGTACACTTCAACTGTGAGAGACAGAATGTGAAAAAAAAAATCCATGAATTCACATGGTAGGATTTGTAAAGAATTTATTCGTAAATTAGGGTGGAAAATAAGTATTTGGTCACCTCAAACAAGGAAAATCTCTGGCTCTCACAGACCTGTAACGTCTTCTGTAAGAAGCTTTTCTGTCCCCCACTCGTTACCTGTATGAATGGCACCTGTTTGAACTCATCATCTGTATAAAAGACACCTGTCCACAGCCTCAAACAGTCAGACTCCAAACGCCGCCATGGCCAAGACCAAAGAGCTTTCGAAGGACACCAGGAAAAGTATTGTAGACCTGCACCAGACTGGGAAGAGTGAATCTACAATAGGCAAGCAGCTTGGTGTGAAAAAATCAACTGTGGGAGCAATCATCAGAAAATGGAAGACATACAAGACCACTGATAGTCTCCCTCGATCTGGGGCTCCACGCAAGATCTCATCCCGTGGGGTCAAAATGATCATGAGAACGGTGAGCAAAGATCCCAGAACCACACGGGGGGACCTGGTGAATGACCTGCAGAGAGCTGGGACCAAAGTAACAAAGGTCACCATCAGTAACACACTACAACGGCAGGGAATCAAATCCCGCAGTGCCAGACGTGTTCCGCTGCTGAAGCCAGTGCATGTCCAGGCCCGTCTGAAGTTTGCCAGAGAGCACATGGATGATACAGCAGAGGATTGGGAGAATGTCATGTGGTCAGATGAAACCAAAGTAGAACTTTTTGGTATAAACTCAAGAAGAATACTGAGTTGCATCCCAAGAACACCATACCTACTGTGAAGCATGGGGGTGGAAACATCATGCTATGGGGCTGTTTTTCTGCCAAGGGGACAGGACGACTGATCCGTGTTAAGGACAGAATGAATGGGGCCATGTATCGTGAGATTTTGAGCCAAAACCTCCTTCCATCAGTGAGAACTTTGAAGATGAAACGAGGCTGGGTCTTCCAACATGACAATGATCCAAAACACACCGCCCGGGCAACAAAGGAGTGGCTCCATAAGAAGCATTTGAAAGTCCTGGAGTGGCCTAGCCAGTCTCCAGACCTCAACCCCATAGAAAATCTGTGGCGGGAGTTGAAAGTCCGTGTTGCTCGGCGACAGCCCCAAAACATCACTGCTCTCGAGAAGATCTGCATGGAGGAATGGGCCAAAATACCAGCTACTGTGTGTGCAAACCTGGTAAAGACCTATAGTAAACGTTTGACCTCTGTTATTGCCAACAAAGGTTATGTTACAAAGTATTGAGTTGTATTTTTGTTATTGACCAAATACTTATTTTCCACCCTGATTTACGAATAAATTCTTTACAAATCCTACCATGTGGATTCATGGATTTTTCTTTCACATTCTGTCTCTCACAGTTGAAGTGTACCTCTGGTGCAAATTACTGACCTTTGTCATCATTTTAGGTGGGGGAACTTGCACAATCGGTGGCTGACTAAATACTTTTTTGCCCCACTGTACCTTCCCTCTTCCGTATGAGATCTGGGATAGGCTCAAACACTCCTGAATAAGCTTAGGAAAAAGGGATGGATGCCTGTATTAGACCAGTGATTCCCATAGACTGTATATAAAGATGGACATAGCCACTGTGACAGTGGTTAGTGACATCTTGTTATGAAGCACGGAGCTTAACATGTCTGCCGTCTGTCATATTTTGAAAAAAGGCGTAACAAGCAAGGGCGGGGTGGATCTGACAGCCTGACAGGTTTATCCTCCTTCCTGACTTGAAGAGTGGCCACATATTTTCTAAATACCTTTTAAACAAACAACTGAACACATAAAGTCACCAGTAAAGTATTTACTGAGGCCTGTTTTCCCCACAGGCATCTATACAACTTAAAGGCTTTTTGCACCCTGCTGGACAAAAGAATACATGTTTAAGGCGCCTTCAGATTAGCTTTTTACCCTTTTTTTTAACTTTATCTTCGATACTTTGCACACACTCAGTCCCCAGTCCTTTGTGCTGCTCCCAGATGGTGGGAATTATAAGACTGTACCAAATCAACAACCCCGACTGACAGCAGGAAGGAAATATGATCACTTTTTTCCTGTGGCACAGACCGCAACTAAACACCGGTGCAGACGACCGTCCACCTAAAGAAGAGAGGGAGTTGGTACAGACCAAAGTGACAGCTCCCTGTCTTCTGGCTCCAGCTGGACTGAGGATGTCAACAGCCTTCAGCTCAAGTGTGTCACCCGCCTGGAAAAGCTGGTTAAAGTTAGCACGATCCCAGGCTAAAGAGACAAACTGCAAACCAAATGTGTGCTCTGAGAGACACCTGGTCTGCTCAGTGTCTCGTGAGGCCATGAAGGCAGGACGTACACCGGTTGAGTGGGGACACTTGTTAGATGTCAGGCTAGATCTGTCAGCGCAGAGGTGTGCGCACTTTAAAGACGTGAATTAAAACAGTGCTGAATTATGCTAAATATATGCTAGACATAGTAGAGAATAACCGGTCCTTGTTTTAAAAACAAGATTTTTTTTTAAGGAAAAAGTTGAAAACTTCTGTTTTCTTTACAATTGGAGAAAATTTGTTACAGTTTATAACTAAAAGTTTGTTTGCAAACTCAAGTGGAGCGTCCACAGTTGAAGTAGACTTAAATCATATATGATGGTCTATGGACCAGTTCTGGCCCTGGGGCAGTTTTTCGCCCATGATCTCCATGTTAAAAGAAGAAGAAGGCCGTGAACCAAGGATATATCAGCAGACGTACGTTTTTTATTTGTTTTTGTAAAGGTGTGCCTTGAAATTTTGGCTTGCCCTTTGGTGTGCCCTGGGCAAGAACATTTTGAGAAAACTGCTGGATTGAAAGTCTTTAAAAAGTACAAAACAATAAAGAAGACGTTGCGATGTGATCAAGAGCTCCTGAGCGGTGATTGTTGGTCACCTGCTGATTGAAGGTAAAGAGAGAAAAACCTGAATCTGAGTGTTTCTTCTGCTTGACTCAGAGAAGTTCCTCAGGCCGTGAAACGCTGCACTGCATTTGTAGTTAATGCACTTCTCAAAGGGCATTTCCACTCATAAACATATATTGGCTGTTGCTTATTTTGGGCTGGACAGTATTGCTTAAAATGCCATCAGGATAGATGTCTAAATATCATTCAATATAAATATTTACAATGATAAATGTCAGCATGTTGTTGATTTTTTTCCTGGCAGTTTCCTGCTGAGGATTAGGCTGATGCTGGTCGACTCATGGGGATCGGTAATGTTCCACTCGCTGCTGTTATAGGATGTGAAATAGTCTCAGTTTATGCTGTTCTGATGTTTGCCACATTGGAAAAAGCCCCGAAAAACCTCTCCTGAAGTAATGACAAGTTCTTATGAATTATAAGCTTAAAATTGATCAGCTCTTTGCTGAATATTTGAGTTTTTGTTCTTATTTTATTTATTTTAAATTATGATAATGATTTTATAACTTTTCTCTTGGATGTTTGAGCTTCACTGTGTATAAGGATTCAGGCAGAAAACTCAGGATCTTCTGCCGAAAGCTTTTCTGAGCTCAAACAAAATTTTACTTTAAGCTGCAAAGCTGTGAGCAGGATTTATGTCATGGCTGGTCTTGGAAGTCACTCCTGGTCCAACGGGCAACTTAAACTGGGTTAATGTGTTTTAGAAGCATTAAGACACTTTAACTTTACACAATGTTCTTGATATGAAGAAGAACAAGTTCTGAATGTATTTGTGCTCAGCCATAATTGCAGCTCGTCTGCTCAGATAAGACTGATGCAGCTCATGTTCCTGATAGCAGAGACATTGCTGGCTCAGATTAAGAGACTAAAACAGGAGAAACCTGCTGTAAACAAAAGCCTTCACATGACCTGGACCCCTGAAGGCTTCAAAAAACAGGAGGAACAGGGAGGAGGCATAACCCATCACGTGTTCTGGCTGAAAAGTGAAAAGGCGGAAAGTCATTTCGCTAGAAAGTTGAAAATAGTTCTACAAAAAAAAGGGCAGCAGACTAAGAAGTAAATGTCAGAACGGATTATTTTATCAGGGGTTTTATCATTTTTATTGCTTAATTGATGAAAGGATGTTATTAAACAACTAGAAAGCCCAGGATGGATATCCAGCAGACGGTGACGTGTCCAACATCAGTTAAAGTTGGATTTTCAACCAAGACCAGACATTTAGAAAAGACAGTCAGTTAGCCATATTTTTTTAATATTAAAAACTTCTTTACACCACTGCGTTCTCTCTACATGTGAAGCATTGTCTCATGGAGTGTTGCATGATGAGCTTATTTGTTTAAGCCTCTAAACCTACCGTTTCCCCCTGCTAAGTCAACACAGTGATGCACTGTAACTCTGACGCCTCTGAGCAAGAGATGCCCGTCCTTAAAGTTTGGAGAAGTGTGGCACTTTCCAAGCAGATTTAGACACACGTAATTTATTCTTTGTCTTTTCGTTGACCTTAAAACCTTTTAACCATAACTTGATGTTGTCTAATAAAATATTCTTCAACAAGTTTTCGCTGTTTGGGATGAGCTGTGTGGAGATCTGCACGCGGACAGTGGAAACGTAGACCTGAGCCTAAACTAAAGACTCTAATGTTGACTTTCCAGCTCATAAAGTCATGTTTTTAAAGGATTTTAAATAAGTGTTTGCTGGGTGTGAGATTACTGTTTAAAGCAGAGTATTTTTTATTGTATCTTCAGTTATGTGTTTGGGGCCCTGTAATCTCAGCAGACACATGGTTATAGTTAATAGATGTTTGGATGGACGATAGACTTTATCTGTTTAAAGGATAGGATTTACAGAAAACGCAGAGGAAACAGAATAAAAGAAAGGAGACAAAACACACATCTGACTGAACGTGGCAGCATTATTACCTGCACCTCTGACAGCAGTTAAACTTTGGTTTATATGAAAGTTTAAAACAAAACTGCATTCTCAACAAGCTAAAAGATAAACATGGAACTAGGGCTGTTCGATATAACGATGTATATCGATGACGATATAAAAACATCTATCGTTTCATCTTACGCTATCGTTTGTTTCGTGGTGTCGCAAAATAAACTGTTTGCGGCAATATTTTTTTCATCGTTCTGATGGTCACTGTAGTGGCTATATTAATTTCTTAAAGTTCTCTCTTTGTCTTATATTTAATATAACCACACTACTGACGGACAAGCGCCTTTTTTATGCGTTGTCGTTAGCAACAGCGACGGTAACACCTTCGCGTGTCCGCTTGTTTATGTTCCACATAAACCTTTCACAATAAAGCTCAAGATCCTGTTGAGACCTTTCAAAATAAATTGAATCACGTGAAAGAGCAGATTATTTATGGATGAGAATTTAAAAAAAAAAAAGAGCCGCCAGGTGCTAAAAAATAAACTTTAGACTCAAACGTTAGAACAGGCTTTTCCGCAAGTCGAGCTGCCCGAGATTCACAGAATTTACAGAAAATTTAAAAATTTTGTGATTTATATCGTTATCGGGACGATAGAATTCTTATATCGGGATATGAGATTTTGGTCATATCGCACAGCCCTACCTGGAACACATTATGTTATTATACTATAAGCTTCGCATTTTTATGTATATATCAGTTGTTTTCCTACCCGTCTGCCTGCCTAACATGCTGTTTGTGTGTTGTTGACCTGTGTAAAGTTCACTTTTCTACTTTCTTACGATGCTTTTGTCATTATGTTGGTGTTAAATTTCAGCGGATGACGTGGTTGAAGAGAAAGGGGTGATCCAGACCACATACACTCACAGAGTACACTCCACACCCTCGGTCTTCCTCCAGAATCACAATGATGAGCCTGTTTCCAGCACTTACCTTGATGAGAAAGTCCCTGTCCCTGAGGAGGACGGCGAGGTAAATCAACCCTGGATTACATATGCAAACCTGAGTTAAATCAAGATTTGATGTTATTAGTGGTGCAACTTTTGTTTCCCCCTGCCACAGAGGTGGATAAGTCTCCGCAAGCTCTGGGCCTTCACCGGCCCGGGGTTTCTGATGAGCATAGCCTACCTGGATCCAGGTAACATCGAGTCTGACCTGCAGTCAGGTGCCAAAGCTGGCTTCAAGGTAACTGAGATCATGCTTGGTTTGTGTTTTGGTTGATTAAGAGTTAGCTTATGTCAGAGAAAGTTAAACTGAAGTCATTTTTATTTGCAATTATGATAATTATTTGGTAATTAACTATTTTTCCACTATACTTCCCAAATTATTTTGTACAAGCAGCAGTTTTGTCCCCAAATATCTAAGTTATAACAACACAGGACCAAGAAAGGCAACAAATTCAAAAAACGTTGATTACTTGGTTACTAAAATTAAAAAGAAATGCAGCCTTAGTTAAAAAACAAAGTTAAACATATCTAATATTTACAGTGGGAACCTTTTGTTTTAAAATATCTGCTCATTTTAATTTTTTTGCCGGCAGCAAACTTCAATAAAGTTGAGACAGGGGCTGCTTCACCTCTTCTTCACACTCTGTTAGTGTTATTGAAAGCATGAGTTTCTATCATTTTGAAATAAAAAATATCTTCCTGTTCTTGCTTGAGGTAAAATTTGATTTGCTCAACAGTTTCTGGCCTTGTTTATTGTTTAGTCTTTTACTGTCTTCCAAATGTTTTCAGTGGGTAACAGGTCTGAGTGAGTGTACTGCAAATACAGACTGATGGGTCGCACGTCTTGCTTTTTTAAACTTGGCTATGTCACCATGGTAACCTATGCTGAACACATCAACTGGTCCAGAGCAGGTTACGTTCGGATTTCGGTTTAAATTTGTCTGAAAGTGCCACATTCATTAATTCTTTTCTCTAAATTTCTTTTTAACATTTAATCTGTTGAGAAGTACCTCACAAAGTTATACCAGCACCAACTGTGCGTCACATGTATGGATGAGGAATGTGCATAAATATGATTTTCAGCTTGGTCCTAATCAGATGCCCAGTGTTGGAGTTGTAGCAAACACAACATGCATTAGATTAAAAAAGAATCACTGTGTTTGTAGGCTGTTTATCACCAAGCTGATTTAGTCAATGAAATTCACTCCACACTCATCCGACAACTAAACCAAAGTGGTTTTCTCCATCATCGCGCTTTGGGCCAAGTCAGATTTTAAGTTTCTAACTTTGCAGCTGTCGTGTTAGAAATAAACAGCAGCACTGCAGTGAAAGCTTGAGTATTCACAATATTAGTTGCAGATTTATTTGCAGCACCAGTGGCATGTTTAACCTCTCATATTATTTATAAATTTCTATCTCCTGGTGTAGGCAGCAATGAAATAGGTAGCTCTCAATGACAACATTTTGTGCAGAAGAAGACTTTAATGACGTGCCGTGTTTCCACTTTTCTGTGAGCGTGCACAGTCTTTGTCTTTCCAAGCTAACACAAAGAATGTCTGGCTATATTGAACTTCCTTTCAAGAGCGTTAGCAAGCCCGTTTAGCGCTCAGACTCAGATTATGGAGCATTGCTGCTGGTAAATGTGCAGAACAGACAAAGCCTTTACCTAAATCATCATGTGTTGCTCTGCAACCTGTAGATACCTTTCAGCATTAATGGTTGCTCCGGTTATGTCATTTGTTCTTTTGCATTTCAGCAATATTTCTTGAAAGACAAGTCCGACTTTGAAATTCACCAGTCCCACAGCACTGCAGGTCAAAGTTTAACAAAAGTGTCCTTTGCCCTTAAACAGGTGGAAACATTCCTGAACTTCGGAGTCGCATCATTTAAACTGAGTGAATGTTTACTGAGACTGGTGTAAGAGTGACCGGGCCCTAAGCCTTAATCCTGACCGTCAGTCTTGAGGTATGCAGGGCTTTTAAAGGTTGTGAGCCTCAGCCAATCACAGCGACAAGGCTGCAGCACAGTCACAGAAAAGCAGTGCTCAAGAGTCTCGTAGCGGCTCAGTAATGTGAGGATTAATTATTGTTAATTAAGACAAAGTTAATCTGTTTAACATTTTTCAACAACAATAAAATTCACATTGCTTCTCATAAAATAACATAAAAAGCTTTGAATAAAACTAAATGCAACATAAGACTGTGTAAAAGCACATTAGAAAGAAATTGGTTCAAGAATTAATTGGTTTTAATAAAAGGCAGTGGCAAACAAAGTCTTCAGTCTTAGTTTACCAGAACACAGAGTTACTCCTGCTTTATGTGAGTTTGTTCCAGACATGTGGAGCAAAAAGCCTGAAAGCTGCTGCTTCTATGTTTAGTTTTATCTCTGAGGACAGAAAGCAGACCTGTACTGGGAGACCTGAGGGGTCAATACGCAGCAGACCAGACATGTAAAACATGCTGGCTTATAAACCGTTCTGTGCTTTATAAACCAGCAGCAGCAGTCTTTTCAAACAAACATTGAACACATGTGCTGAGAAGAAGTGTTAATTGATTTAATTCAGATAAGGCGATCAAAATATGTTTGTTTGACAGGAAAAAAAGAAAGAAAGACATAAACAGATTATATTCAGAGTTCTAAAATGAAATAAGAATATAGATGAAGAGTAAAGCATCATCTCCGTCATGGGGGAGGCAGAGGGAGTGCGAGACATAAGAATAAAACTGCATTTCCTTTATCGTTTTTAGGTTTTCCACCAAAGAAAGAAGTATGTCGCAACAGGGGAAGTAGAAGCAGATGGTAAAAAAGGGGTACGGGACTCGTGAAAGTTCACGTCAGGTTAATGTGGCCGCAAAACAACAGTCTCTTTTCACAGAAAACGCGCTCACACTGACTGAAAAGCAGAGGCGCTTCATAAAATGCAAAGGTTCCAGTTTTCTATATGCGCAAATCTGTTTCTGTCAGAGGGCCACAACTTAAGATAAAGAAGTCAAGCTGGGCTTAGACGTACTTTATTTATCCCAAAGGTTGATAACTTGCTTTGTTACAGAAGATAAAACATTGACACAACCAGTAACAACATATAAAAATAGCTCAATAACAGACAGTAGTGCCAAAAAATAGAATTACTTTCAAGTAAAATACAGTTGACTATAATCTAAAAGAAATTTATATAAGCTGCATCGCTCCAAAAAGTAAGTGGGCCCTTGATCATCGGTGTAACACAAAGTCCGTTACACTTCAGGGCTATATTAGTGTGCAGTCAGGAACATAAACCACTGAATCAGTTTATGCTTCCTAACTGAAGTTTAACCGTGTTTTTTTTTTTTTTTTTTGAGCAGTGTAAAATATAATAAAAGTGTAAAATGGCTCAATAACACACAATAAAACAAAAATAAAGCGGAAATTCTAAAAATAGGATACTAAAGGTAGTAGAAGGAAAGGTATGAGGTTTAGTTTTACAGAGTTGAGTAAGTGTAATAGTTAAAAACAGAGTCTTGGGAATAAATTAATGTCAGTGCTGTCACAAAGCCAAAGCAAACGTGGTTTTATGTGTGTCTGTGTGCATAACAGAGCAGAACTTTCAGAGCATGTTCACACCTATAGTTCGTTTACTCTGGTCTGAATCAGTTGATGAGTTTGTAAACTTGTTGCTTTTCCTTGTGGTTTAGTTTGTTTTCACACAGAGAAAAATCCAAATGAACTCCAAGCGAACCGAAATGAGTCACGAACAAACCACATAAGAATATTCGGTCTGCTTATCGGCCAGATGTGTCTGGGGCGGGAACAACAAAAGTAAATACAGGAAGCAGGTGCCGTGTTCTGGACTATCAGGGAACACGGAGAATTTAGGTTTGTTTCACAGCTAGCTGCCGGCCCGTACAGATCCTTGCACGTCTACCTTGCTGCATCTCTGGATACAAGACAAGCTTGCAATGTACCCATGGTAGTTGGTTCAGATCACGTTCACAGGATAAACAAACCGTTCTGAAGTTCGTGTGGAACCGTACCAAGACCCGAGGCGATCTCAGTACGGTTGTTTTGGTGTGCGATTGTTGTGTTCACATCTGCACAAACGAACCGCACCAAGAGGGAAAACAAACCAGTTTGATTTAAACTGATGAAACACGGCAGCTGTGAAAACAGCCTTAGACAAAAGATAAGAACCACTGATTCAAACAACCTCAAACTACACGTACTCGAGCAACAACTCGCTGGGTTTCAAGCTGATCGAAGGGCAAATAACAGACAGAACGACATACAGAGATTTCATAATTTACTGGTGGTGTTTTAAACCACTTCCTGGCTTCAGTTTCTTTTCAGATCTTAGGGCAGCTTCACAATCATGTTACCTATCAGCTCACAGGCTCTGATTAACTGTTCGGCTCTCTGCCCTCGTCCTTTCAGCTGCTCTGGGTGCTGCTGGGTGCCACCATCGTCGGCCTGCTGCTGCAGAGGCTGGCGGCTCGGCTAGGCGTGGTCACCGGGATGCACCTGGCTGAAGTCTGCAACCGCCAGTACCACACTGTGAGATACGTTTGCCGTTATTGTCCTATTTTCCGTTGTTGTTGTTGTTGTTGTTGTTGTTGTTGCTGCTGCTTCTGCGCTCTCTCTTCTCATCACCGTTCTAAAACACGAGCAGGATGAAGTCTGACTGAGAGGCTGTGAGCAGAAGCAGTCTTAGTTTACTGAAACTGCCTCCTTGCATTACAAGCACTGCTGTTACAGTAGCTGTAATCCTTGGATTATGCGTCTCAAAACATTAAATCAAACCAGCGTGAGCCGGTGACACTTACAAAACAGTGACAGCATGAATTATTCATGTGGATATATTTTTAAATCCAGCTTATAAGAAATATTTGCATCTGTAAAACATGAAGAGAGAAAATAACTGTTACAAATGTGCCTCTGTTTGCTCTCTTTCTGTCCTCTCAGGCTACACTGCCCACTGTTGGAAACATTTTTTTAAGCTTCAGTAGGGAAACGTATGCAGAGCTGCATGAATGAATTGACTTCTTATCTTTGAATCTGTTAACTTTTCTGAGTTTACAGGACTAGTGACACAGTTGAAAATGCAAATGCTTTGACTGCCGGCTTGGTTTATTAATTGATTTATCGAATGATGAAAAGCTGAAAAGAAGTCCCGGAAAATTAATTTGTGCCTATAAGTCAAAGGTAAATTAAGGCTGTGTCCTCAAGCAAGAATGCATGAACACCTTCTGCCATCGTAAATTCACTTTATATGTTCTTGAAAAGGTTTAAGGCGCAACCTGTCCCAGATGGGATGGGAGAAGAGCGGGCAGAGAAGGCTTCTGTCCTACATCAAAGTCCTTGAATTGTGGTGTGACTGTGTATGATTGTTGCACCTCCACGTCGACATGCCTTAAACCAATAATTCTCATTGTGCAGCTTCAGCTTTTCTGTCCTCTGTTCCTCACACCTCGCTCACATTTTTGCAGAGAAGAGCTTAGACATAAAACTAGGCCTTCATTTATCCACGTGAGCAGCGTGACGGCAATGACCAACTGAAGCAGCAGAGGGCGAAAGGTCCTGACTTTTATTGTCAGGAGATTGCTGGATACTAATTCAATAAAAGTCCAGTAAATACGGCACCAATCATGCTGTTTAGTGCTTTACAGGTGATGGACAAGCTGATAAGACAGCTGAATTCCCAAACACTGTAAGAAGCAGTAGTTGTGCCACAGAGTAAAAATCTCCAACAATAAAAGGTTTCCTCACATGCCGGATGTGTTGCAAACTGAATTCTATGTCAGCTCAGACCTTTGTAAACACTGCCTGACTCTGATAGGTGCCTCGTATCATCCTGTGGGTGATGGTGGAGCTGGCGATCATCGGCTCAGACATGCAGGAGGTCATCGGCTGCGCCATCGCTTTCAACCTCCTCTCCTCTGGCAGGTGGTGTAAACAGACTAAGCATCAGTTTAACGGCCACTGGGACTCAGTCGCAGTTTGATGATTGCCATAAAATGAGTCGATTACTTCCTTGGCGATGATCTTTTCCGTTGTTTGTGTTTATCCACAGGATCCCCTTATGGGGGGGTGTCCTCATCACCATCACTGACACGTTTGTCTTCCTCTTCTTGGACAAGTACGGTAGGTTGGATTAATCACTTCCAAACTGTACGTCGGCATGTCAGCAATAAATGAAGCACGCCGCTTATTTTTTGTCTCTGCAGGTCTGAGAAAGCTGGAAGCCTTTTTTGGTTTCCTCATTACAATCATGGGGATCACATTTGGATATGAGGTATAAACACTTACACACGATTATCTGGAAATTAGTTGGGGGGGGGGGGGGGTCTCTCAATCAGCGGGTCACAACATGTCAGTGGGGGAAAGGTAAGCAAAATATTTTTAATACTACCTGGAAGTCCCTGGATCCAAAATGATGTCCAAATCTCAACCGGATATTTTTTTTAAGAATATCAAGACAATAGACCTCATTCAATAATATGTGTTCAGAAATGTTCTTACCCCTGTGCAATCACACTCATTCTCAACTTGTGCCCACTGTGTGAAATCTGCTTATTGCCACTCCTCCATTTCTCTGTATAAATAAACACACTAACTTGAGATGAAACTGAGAAAGTTAAAGTTGAAGTTGAGTGACCTTAAATCTACCCTCACTTCTGATTACAAGCTCTGGGTAGTGACTGAGAGAATGAGATGGTACAAGTGGTGGAAATGAGCTTTCTCCAAAGGGTGGTGGAGAGAGGGAAATCAGTCAGACTGAGAGTAGAGCCACTGCTGCCAACATCGAAAGGAGCCAGCTGAGGTGTTCCACACGTCCTTCCAGTAGGAGGTAGGAGGAAAGGCTCAGGACATGCGAGAGCGATTATGTCTCTCAGCTGGCTGGGAATGCCTCACTGTTCCCCTGGATGAGCTGGAGGACGTCCAGGCTTCTCTAGAAGAGGAATTGATGGATGGACTTTCGGCTTCCATCGATTATTAAAACAAGAAAATAGAGATATTTATCAAAATGATCATGATTATGATTTTTTTGGCATAATCAGTAAGTCATAGTGGGAAATATTGTTTTGGTCAAATGTCACAACATCCCTGACACCTCGACAAGATCACAGACTCCAGGAAATACAGAGAAAGGCAGTAATCCCGTAGACAAGACAGAGGAATGGAAAGACAGGGAACCACTGGGAATACTAGGAACAGAAGAATGTGGGAAACTCAACAAAAGAGGAACCAAAGTTATATAAATACAAAAAAAAAACCACAACACATGAGCTTCAGGTTGTTAAGACTTCACTGAAAACCACAAATGTCGCATTGAAATCTTTTGATCACCGTGTTAAGATTTTTCCTCTAAACATCACATGAATGTTTGTACCAAGCTTGAAATGTGCCACCCAACACTCACTCTGAACTCTGGTGGTGCAAAATCACCAAGTGTCTCTGGTCTCTTCAGGTTCGTCCTAATTTACATCTTCTAAATGTTTTGCTTTTGAAATCACTCTTTGCTTCCTTTTCAGTATGTAACAGTGGGTCCAGACCAAGGCCAGCTGCTGAAGGGGATGTTTGTGCCGTACTGCGAGGGCTGCGGACCCGTCCAGCTGACTCAGGCCGTCGGCATCGTGGGCGCCGTCATCATGCCTCACAACATTTACCTCCACTCTGCTCTCGTCAAGGTCAGACAGTAATGAAATCCCTGCTTAATCAGCTGTGTGAAACCTGCATTGGCATCGTCAGTGAGTTTCTAAATCTTCTCTCTCAGTCTCGAGAAGTAGATCGGTCAAACAAAAAAGAGGTAAAAGAGGCCAACAAATACTTCTTCATCGAGTCGACCGTCGCACTGTTTGTCTCTTTCCTCATCAATGTGTTTGTGGTGGCCGTCTTTGCTGAGGCTTTCTATCAGCGCACAAATGAAGAGGTGGTAAGTATCTCTGCAGCTGCTTTATGATCTAATAAAAGTTCAGAGTCGAGATGGAAATTCAGCAGTCTGTTTTGCTTTCCTCTCTCCCCCCGTTTTCTTTTTTCAGTTCAATGTCTGTAATCAAACAGGCAGTCCGCATTTAGACCTGTTCCCTCTGAATAATGAAACTCTCAAGGTGGACATCTACAAAGGGGTAAGCTTTTATGTATGGGCTCAAAATGTGGTCATAAATATTTTGTACTTGTAAATCACTTTTGTATGTGTAAAAAGAATTTGTGTGTGTAAAAAAGATTTGTGTGTGGACCCCTGCAAGTTACAAGTACGAATTTTTTCTTCCTTTCATCTGATTGGTCAATGTCATGTCAATCACAAATGTAACAATCCAATCAGAGAACAGATGGGTTTGGCTGTTGGAGGGGCGCTTTTTTTTGAAACATGATAAGAAAAGTCTGTGACCATTTAAATGTATAACAAAACAAATATGTTTACAAATAAACAGGTAAAGATACTGTTGAATGCACGCCTCTCAGCATATTTGCTCATACCACATGTTTAAATTGAGTGCGATTATAAAGTAATAAGACTCAAACTACAGTGGTCCCTCGTTTATAGTGGTAGTTACGTTCTAAAAATAATCTGTGTGAAATCCGCGAAGTGGCTAACCTGATTTTTTTTTTTTACAGTTATTATAGCTGTTTTAAGGCTGTAAAGCCACTCACTACACACTGGTTTAAACACTCTAAAAGTTCAAACCTTCGTAGAAAAATAAGTCCAGTATTATAGAACGAAACGAAAGTCACCCGCGGTTGCCTTTGATGGTGCAAAACATTTCATCGAAATTTTTGTTTGTTGGAGAAAACTTACAAACATACAGTACCTCACTTCAGAGTCACATTGGTAGTGATCGAAGATTTAGGTAAATTTGACAAGGTGAACCAATGACTGTATAAAACATGGACGACGCGACAGCTCCCCAAGAATGAAGCCAAAACGTCTCTATCGCCCCCTGGTGTCTGGCTGCAGTATAGGTCATAAACCCCGCCTCCTCCATGTTAGCAGATAGGACCATTGACAGTCATTGAGGTGAATCAGAAATACTTTATTAATCCAGAAGGAAATGGTCTACAGCCAATCAGAATACAGAACACAATGTGCTGTTTAAAAAAAAACAAAAAAAAAAAACATGCAAAATTGCATAAAAAAGATCTACAAAACAGCGAGACCACGAAAGGTGAACCGCGTTATAGCGAAGGACCACTGTATACCAAAACTTGACCTAATTTAAAGATTTTTAAGGTCATCTCCTTGTGCATGTCTGAAATGCTATTTTTTTTATGCTTCTTGCAATTCCCGTTGAGATCAGTGATGAACAACAGCTAAAATCGAAGTCTGTGCAAAGATGTGAATTGATGCAAATTCAGACCAGGTGACACATTTAGAGGCAAACACGTGTCTGCAAGCTTTGATCCACACAAAATGCGAACTTTGTTTTTTCCTTCAGAGCTGGCATCAATTAAAAAAGCTGCTGGAACGCAATTTAAGATTTTGGCCCATATTCACATGATAGTGTTACACAGTTGATGCAAATCGTCCGTTTAACCTCATCTATTCAATTGACATCTACCATCCGAATGTTGCAGCAAAAATAAAGAACACTTTTCTCCTATTGCCCAGTTTTGCTGAGCCTCTGTGTATTGGAGCCTGTTGCCTGCTCTTAGCAGACAGGAGTGGCACTGGTGTGGTCTTTTGCATTCAGAGATGCTCTTCTGCATGCTTTGGTTGGATTTTTTCCCCCGAGAACAGCTGCTCCCTAGATATTTTTCTCTTTTTCGGGCCACTTTCTGTAAACACTAGAGATGGTTGTTAATTATTTAAATCACAACGTGTTTAGCAGCAAGTTCTCTTTACCGTTCCTGAATGTATTGATCTGCTAACATTTAATTAACTCATTAGAGCTTTGCCTTAATAAGCAGTTGAACTGTATCTAATGGAGTGACCGTATGTAGTGGAATTACAAGAAAAGGAGTGAACGAACTTAAGGGAAAATATTTGTGGCTTTTTTCAGAAACTGTGTGGACACATTTGGTCTGAGCATACTTATACTTGCATATGCATGTGTGATTTCACCACAGAGCTTTAAATTGCACAAAGAGCTATCATCAGCTTCTGCGTCAAATTGACTCAGAGCGCTTGCTGGGGATCATCACTGATCTCCAGCTACGGCCCAGAAAACAAATAGAAAAGCTCGGGGTCATTTCTTATTTTTAAATTTAAAGGCTCATTCATGCATGTGTTGCTACATCAGATTATCTATCCAACCAATCACTCGTTTTATTTGCTGATTATCCAGCTAAGGTCTGTCCATCACATTCTATTGCCGTATATTATGTCGTTTTCCACACTGTTATGAAATATTCCTGTAATAAATCAAAGACACCCATCAGTACAGCTCATTGGGCTACACTGTAGGGAATAAAGGATTCCTACGCTGTAATTAAAAGCAGAAGTTATCCGTGAATTCACAGAAATTGTTGTTTTTTTTTCACTATTTTAAAAAAAGTGGTGTGTTTGACGCCCCTGCTTGCGAACAGAACTCGGGGTGTTTGTAGCCTCCGTGTAGTTTATTCAGTAAAACTTAAAAGCACATAAACAGGTCAAATTTGCAGCACATAATGACAGGATTGTGTTTTATATAATATTTCTGAGATCATCTGGATTCAAGCCCTGCAGGAAATGGTGACAATGACATTAACATGCATTTATTCTTAACTCCCTCTCTGGTTTTAGTGGCAGCAAAGTGGGCCTGCGCTGGTTTTGCAGAGCATGTTTTCTGTTTTTTATCCACTGTCATCTGTGTTTGCGTGTCTGTAACAGGGAGTGGTGCTCGGCTGTTTCTTTGGCCCAGCTGCTCTCTACATATGGGCCGTGGGGATCCTTGCAGCTGGTCAGAGCTCCACCATGACTGGAACATACTCCGGCCAGTTCGTCATGGAGGTCAGTGAGAAAGGAAGAACCAGATGTGAACAAAAACCACATGTAAAGCTCAAACAGTGGAAATGTCAGCACTAACTCTTTCCCTTTAACGCAGATATGTTCTCCCATTCTTTCTTTACTTGAGCCCTTTATTTGGCCTGTTCAAAAGCTCCTGCGTGTAATTTACTTATTTACTTATAATCACGTACAGCTGCAGTCGGTTTGCTTCACTAAATCTTTTGTAAACAAGCCCCGTTTTCTTGTAAATGTCACCGACTCATTTGTTCTTCTTCCCTCAGGGCTTCTTAAACTTGCGCTGGTCACGTTTCGCTCGGGTGTTGCTGACCCGCACGCTTGCCATCATGCCCACCCTGCTCGTGGCCATCTTCCAGGACGTGCAGCACCTGACAGGCATGAATGACTTCCTGAACGTGCTGCAGAGCATGCAGGTCAGACAGAGGTTAAAACCAGTTCAGCTTCATTCAACCATCCGCCAACAGCACCACTATTCTTTTAGGCTTATTTATCTTTGTAGTGCTGATCTTATTAAGTGCATTAAGGTCATTAACATAACTTAAATGCACAAGCAAGCAGGACTGGTTTTCAGGTTTTGGATCAAGTTCTAGGTTGGTAAAATCAAAACAGGCTGTACTCTTATCGTTAAATGATAAGATAAGACTGTCTAAGTGGCAATAAGAATGCCTCGTTGGAAAAAAGAAACAGGGTTGACCCAGTTGCTTCAGATGTAATCCTGCAGTATGAAAGAATTTATTGTCTGTAGTGAATAAAATGTTGCCAGACTGGGTCCAGTTGCTTCAGAAATATTGAATACACAGCACGAATGAGTTGCAAAGCATCTTTGTTACTTAATTTGTGTGTAATTAATGTTCCTGCATACTTAATATACACTGATTCACAGTCCCCAAGGAAAGCAGGCAAACCTTAGGTCCAGGCATTCATGTGGATATTACTTTGATACATAATAACTACTTTATTTTCTTTAAAGGAACCCATTCTGTTCTATTTCAGCTCTGTATAATTATCCCCAGAGGCTACTACAGTAGCTTTAAGCAGCTTAAGCATCTCTCCCTTTAAGCTGACTTCTTCTGATTGGCTGCACCACACAAACAAAAGGTTTGAGCGGTAGATGGACGAGTTTCTGTATTCCTGAGATGACCATGTTTGTGATATTCGCTCCCAGATATTTCATACTGATCCAAGACAAAAAACCTGTCTGAAACAGTTTATGCCTAATTCTGTGGAGAATCTTTGTAGAGCCTAGGATGTAACTTATGTAAGGGCCCAGTGTCATTGCCCACATGTATGCTTCTCTAGTGTGGTGCATACGTGTTAATCACAGTGCCTGTCCCGAAAGTCCTAATATATTATATTGATGCTATGATTATTATTCCTTATACTGAGGCGGTTATTGTTATTCTCTCGCTGATAAATTCAAAAACAGCAGTGAAAATGTTGCAGGTGTTAATCACCATTATAAGTCAGGTTTACTCATCGTGGTTTGTGCTGCTCAGTGTGTGAAAACAGTTAAATATGATCATTAATCTTTATTGCTTAAAAACAGCAATATATCATCTGGACGTTTTCAGTGGGAGAAACATTTTATCACTCCCACTGAAATTGCTCCATCCAGATGGATCGGCTTTCTGGGATTTCCTTACCTGGATGAGTGAGCGTGCATTAGGACAGATGCATGCTCAGATAAGCTAAGCAAGACAAAAATTACAGGGGAAAAATTCAGCTGTACCACTGTCTGCATAGTGGGATTGGTCATGTGTAGAACTACATCTTAAAACTGATAAATGAACATAAAAGAGCTTAAAGGCATTAAGCCTCCTCAATTGAAATCACTGTGCATCACTGCAGATTAATTTATACATGAGGTTTCTTGAAGGTGTTGACTGCAGCAGCTACAAACACTGCAGCTATGCATCATTGTAGTCTATCATTATAACAGCAGGTGTCCTGCAAACAGGTGTAAAGAAGCATTTTCACTCTTTCCATAACTAGGAAGGGAAAATGTTTGCTTGTGCGTACATCGTACGACATTGTGTATAACTACCTTCATCATGTCTCATTTGATCTGTAATAACATGTCTACTAATATGTTTTTGGGGGAAGTTTTCATAACATGAGGAACAAAAACCTGAAGACTTCCTCAGGGTTTTTTCTCAGGGCGAGGTGTTAGCTAAAAACCAGAGTTACAGAGTGGTGTTGTGGATTATAAAGGCAGTGGGCATGGAGGTTTTAATGGAAAAACACGAGCTGCATCTGGGAAATGTGGGATCAATCCTTTTTGGGGGACTTTAATTTACTCCTCAGTTTCCCTCAACTTTACAAGCACCTAGAATCAAACAAACACCACATCCCTTTGAAAAGATAAGTTTGGACACTTATTCCTTAGAGACATCAACACTGAACACATCAAAACCATGCCATAGTTATTGATATGGAAATATTTGTTGGCTGTCAAACAAACTCAGCTGGGTTTTGGTCAGATTGCTGCAGAGGTCAGGTCACTCCATCACTCTATTTCTTGGTCAAGCAGCTCTTACGGTGCTGCTGGAAAAACAAATTATGGCCCCACTGAGCATGAACCACATGGGATGGCGTTTCGCTGTGGGATGTTGTGGTAGCCATGCTGTTCAAGTGTTGCCTTGAATTCTCAATAAATCACCAACCGTGTCTCATGCTTCACAGTGGGAACCACACATGCAGATAACATCCGTTCACCTTGACTGTGCCTCACAAAGACACAGAGCTCACATCTGGATTCATCCAGATGTCTAATATTTGTTCCTCCAAGTTTTCTTCTTCTTCTTGGTCTTCTGAAGTCTTGGTTTCTTTGCAGCATTTCTATCATAAAGGAATCATCAGTGGTCTGATGTGAGCTGTAGTCTGAATTATTGATTTCCAGTGCTCAAACTTCCAAACTTAACAAGAGAATTTCTAGATTTTTTTAAGCATTGCTTAAAAAACTGTTGTTGTTTTTTAACCAAAAACATTTACAACCTCATAAAGCTGAATGTAATGATACTGTGTAAAGTTAAATAAATCCAGTCGAGCCATTTAAGACCACTAAAATCAACAGTTTTGCTCTGCATTGCACAAAATAATGAAAAACCTTTTAAATAAGTAGGGTTTCTAAAAATGTTAACAGTAATACTTAGTGTATGTAGTATTTGAATGTAGTAATACTACATTCAGTATGATTATTACAGCTTTAGTTAGTTATTTGCTGTTAACTAACAAATAGTTGATAACTAGTAATATCTCCAGAATTTATGTAAACCTTTCACCACCAGGGGGCAGCAGTTTAGCGGGAAATGTTTTTTAGATGCCTCACTCCTCTTTGAAGTCACTCATATAAAGCCAGGGACACCTTGTTGTTCCTCTTGTGCATGCGAAGCGTTGTAGGAGAGTCACCCCCGTGTAAACCACACCTGCTTAAAACCACAAGTTCCTTTCCTAAAGCTAACATAACTGTCTCCTTGGAAGCGGCCTCACTGTGTCGAGTTTACTTGCTTTCTCCAGGTATTACAGCGTCCTCACACAGTCCAAAGACATGCATGGGGTTGAGTTCATTGATATAATTCTAAATTTAGTTGTATATCTCTGTGTCAGCCCCTGCAGCAGAAATAAATAAATAAGAAGATCTTTGTAAAATCTCAAAATACACAATTATTTAAAAAGTACATCAAGATTACATTCATTTGCAGCACCATCTTGTGATACAGACTGGTATTACATCAAAGACCAGCTCTAATTCATCTTCAGTAGATATCACTTCAACACAATACATTTGAGATGTGTTTGTTTTTTCACATGCTCCAGTGTTTGGTGTATGGTAATGTGTAGTGTGAAGCCTAAAATAACCAGGCCAAAGCCAATCAAGTAAATAACACGGTGCTATGTGAATGGACTGAGTGCAAAGACTGAGACTTAAATGCTGCCAGTTTCATTGATTAGCTCTGCCAACAAGGAGCCTGCCAGACAACACAGAGGGACAAACAAAGGAAAACATCTGCCAGTGAACTCCAACACTTCAAGTGCCCATAAAAACAGGAAAGCAGCTAAATAAGTATCAGAATAGTAAAATGTACCCTTTTTTCACTGATTTGAACTTCCTCATTTCATTACCTGAGTATTCTACCTAAACTTTACTACAAGTACAAGCAGACATAGAGGTAGCTAAAAAGAAAAAAAATTACAAAATCACTCCACATGTGCCAAAAGACTTCCCTCTGCACCTCCCAGTGGACGAAGAGGTTAACAGTTGGTGTGATCATTTAGTGTAACACATCATCTTCTTCTTCTTCTCTCCCAGCTGCCATTCGCCCTCATTCCCATCCTCACGTTTACCAGTTTGCCATCTCTCATGAACGAGTTTGCCAATGGACTGTAAGTAAATCAAATCAAACCTGCTTGTTTTTATTATAACCCTGTTCTTTAAACAAAGCAAAATACAAATCATATTATAAATGCGTATATATATTTAAATATATATTTAAATGCAAAGTGATGACACTGAAAAATTGTGGGGTTTTTGTTTGTTTGTTTTTTTTAAATAAAAGCTTCTTTTGAATTTGATACCAGCAACACCCTTAAATGGGAGCAACAAAAGACTGGAAAAAATGAGTAAAAAAACGTGATGCATCATCTGAGAGCAAATGCAGTTAATTAGTAACATAAGTATAAAATTACACAGAGAGTACCCCAGAGAGGAGGACTTTAGAAGCAAAAATGAGAAGGGGTTCAACACTGTGAGAGATTACAAGGGCAATTTGTTTAATAATTTGGAAATAATTTTCTTCAACATCAAATTGAAAAGAAATAGAGGAATTCATCATCTCAGAGAAATCTCTGTATACAAGGCAAAAGTTTAAAAGAGCTGCGATGCTGCAGTTAAAATCTCTGCATGGGCTCAGGAACACTTGGGAAACCCTCAGTGGTGCATCCACAAATATAAAGTTAAATATCCACCATGCAGACAGATCTAAACGCCATCAAGAAACGCCTGTTCAGGGCTCATTTAAGAGGCACTGTGGCCAAGTGGAGAGCCTGACCATCCTATGTCAAAGTTGGTATCTGTGCATGGATAATTTGCATATCTTTAAAGGCACCATCAGTGCTTAATGATGTGCGTGGGTTTTGGAGCAACATAAGCTGCCCTGCAGACTTTAGCAAGTCTTTGCCAAACCATGTTCTGCACGGTTCCAGACATGCCAAGCACGAGGACATAACAAATATAACAAAGGCAACGGACCGGTAACCCATGGCAACGGACAGTTAACCCATAACAACGCATGTAAACGCATGGCAACGGACAGTTAACCTATAACAACGCATGTAAACGCATGGCAACGGACAGTTAACCCATAACAACGCATGTAAACGCATGGCAACGGACAGTTAACCCATAACAACGCATGTAAACGCATGGCAACGGACAGATAACCCATGGCAACGGACAGTTAACCCATAACAACACATGTAAACGCATGGCAACGGACAGTTAACGCATGGCAACGGACACTTAACCCATGGCAACGGTCAGGTAACCCATGGCAACGGACCGGTTACCATGGCAACGGACCGGTTACCATGGCAACGGACCGGTAACCCATGGCAACGGACCGGTTACCATGGCAACGGACCGGTAACCCATGGCAACGGACCGGTAACCCATGGCAACGGACAGTTAACCCATAACAACGCATGTAAACGCATGGCAACGGACAGTTAACCCATAACAACGCATGTAAACGCATGGCAACGGACAGATAACCCATGGCAACGGACAGTTAACCCATAACAACGCATGTAAACGCATGGCAACGGACAGATAACCCATGGCAACGGACAGTTAACCGATAACAACGCATGTAAACGCATGGCAACGGACAGTTAACCAATAACAACACATGTAAACGCATGGCAACGGACAGTTAATGCATGGCAACGGACAGTTAACCAATAACAACACATGTAAACGCATGGCAACGGACAGTTAACGCATGGCAACGGACAGTTAACCAATAACAACACATGTAAACGCATGGCAACGGACAGTTAACGCATGGCAACGGACAGTTAACCCATGGCAACGGACAGTTAACACATAACAATGCATGTGAACGCATGGCAACGGACAGTTAACCCATGGCAACGGACAGTTAACCCATGGCAACGGTCAGGTAACCCATGGCAACGGACCGGTTACCATGGCAACGGACCGGTTACCATGGCAACGGACCGGTTACCATGGCAACGGACCGGTAACCCATGGCAACGGACCGGTTACCATGGCAACGGACCGGTAACCCATGGCAACGGACCGGTTACCATGGCAACGGACCGGTAACCCATGGTAACGCATGTAAACGCATGGCAACGGACAGTTAACCCATAACAACGCATGTAAACGCATGGCAACGGACAGATAACCCATGGCAACGGACAGTTAACCCATGACAACGCATGTTAACGCATGGCAACGGACAGATAACCCATTGCAACGGACAGTTAACCCATAACAACGCATGTAAACGCATGGCAACGGACAGTTAACCAATAACAACACATGTAAACGCATGGCAACGGACAGTTAACCCATGGCAACGGACAGTTAACCCATAACAATGCATGTGAACGCATGGCAACGGACAGTTAACGCATGGCAACGGACAGTTAACCCATGGCAACGGTCAGGTAACCCATGGCAACAGACCGGTTACCATGGCAACAGACCGGTTACCATGGCAACGGACCGGTAACCCATGGCAACGGTCAGGTAACCCATGGCAATGGACCGGTTACCATGGCAACGGACCGGTAACCCATGGCAACGGACCGGTAACCCATGGCAACGGACAGTTAACCAATAACAACGCATGTAAACGCATGGCAACGGACAGTTAACCCATAACAACGCATGTAAACGCATGGCAACGGACAGTTAACGCATGGCAACGGACAGTTAACCCATGGCAACGGTCATATAGCCCATGGCAACGGACAGTTAACCCATAACAACGCATGTAAACGCATGGCAACGGACAGTTAACCCATAACAACACATGTAAATGCATGGCAACGGACAGTTAACGCATGGCAACGGACAGTTAACCCATGGCAACGGTCAGGTAACCCATGGCAACGGTCAGGTAACCCATGGCAACGGACCGGTAACCCATGGCAACGGACAGTTAACCCATAACAACACATGTAAACGCATGGCAACGGACAGTTAACGCATGGCAACGGACAGTTAACCCATGGCAACGGTCAGGTAACCCATGGCAACGGACCGGTTACCATGGCAACGGACCGGTAACCCATGGCAACGGACAGTTAACCCATAACAACGCATGTAAACGCATGGCAACGGTCAGGTAACCCATGGCAACGGACCGGTTACCATGGCAACGGACCGGTAACCCATGGCAACGGACAGTTAACCCATAACAACGCATGTAAACGCATGGCAACGGACAGTTAACCCATAACAACGCATGTAAACGCATGGCAACGGACAGTTAACCCATAACAACGCATGTAAACGCATGGCAACGGACAGTTAACGCATGGCAACGGACAGTTAACCCATGGCAACGGACCGGTTACCATGGCAACGGACCGGTTACCCATGGCAACGGACAGTTAACCCATAACAACGCATGTAAACGCATGGCAACGGACAGTTAACCCATAACAACGCATGTAAACGCATGGCAACGGACAGTTAACCCATGGCAACGGACAGTTAACCCATAACAACGCATGTAAACGCATGGCAACGGACAGTTTTGATTGATTGATTGATTGATTGGTAATTTATTTCAACATGTGAACAATATACAAGTACATTTAGAAAAGAAATGAGAGAAAAAATATATATACTATACAAATTACATACAAAAAAACATTCTGATTAATTTACATGTTGAAAGGGAGTGGGAAGAAGTATACACTTATTTAATCCCACCCCTGTCCCATAAATTATCAGTGAATATTTAGTCAGCTTCCTTACTGATATAATTTGTAATAAAAATAGTGAACAGATTTCTGATATACTATATACTATAATATCACATCATGAATTTTTTGTTTGTTTGTTTTTAAATAGAGACATTCACTTAATTTAAATATTTTCCTTTTCTTTATAGATCGAGAAGATCATATTTTTATAACTCTTTTTGAACAGTTTTATGTTTGGACATTGCTTTAATTCCATATTCAGTTTCTTCCATAGTTTCACTCCTTGAACAGAAACACAAAAGCCTTTTCTTGTAGTACAAAGGAAGTGCTGAGCAGCTGAAATTTTATACCAGGCACGAATCTGAAAATATTTTGCTTTCAAATATAAAGCAGAAAGTCTCCTTAGTTTCCAAACTGAGATGAAACAAGAGTAAAACCTTACCATTGTCCCGACCTTTTTTTTTCCCCCCCCCCAACTGGGGCATCGGTTTTTCAAAAATCCATAACATCTATTATTTTCATCAGCTGATGTGTTGTTTATGTGCCTTTTTAGCGCTAACACATCATCTGAACTTTTATTGGAGCGTGCCTCCCTTTAAACTTCACCCGTTCTTATCTTTCTGCAGAGTATTTAAGATAGGAGGCGGAGTGGTGATCTTGATCGTGTGTGCCATCAACATGTACTTCGTCGTAGTCTACGTGAGCATACTGGGCAGCGTGTGGCTGTACGTGCTGTCGGCTTTCCTGTCCATAGCATACCTGGTGTTTGTTGGATACTTGGTAGGTAACAGCAGGTTGTATGGGAGCTGTCCTTGGCAGGGTTTAACTTTGTTTTACTGAGTGAACATTAACTTCTTGGGCATTTAATAGTCAAAGCGTGTTTTCACAAATCTTCAGAGAATTATCTCTGAGCTCCCAACTTAGCCTAAAATTATTAAAAAGGAATTCCAGCTTCAGAGTGATTTTGGAGCAACTCTGAACAAAAAAGGGACCAAAACTTTTACGTCAGTGAGGAGGTGTGGTTGTGGGTTTAATGGACCTTTTACTTTTTACATGCCAGAGCCCATCGATGACACGCATATAAAGGCACAATGCAATTTCTGCAGTTAAGCATTGTTATTACAGTGGCATGTTTAAATTGAGTTCAATTGGTTAACTAACCAGCCAATCAAAATGTTGATCATCAGCGAGATACATGAGAATTGCTCTTTGGGTCCATCTTTCACTTTTTTCCATCAGCAACTGTACAAAATATAGGAAAAGAAACACTCAAAGGCAGCTACGATAACCTTTAATTAGTAATGTCCTCTTGTATAAATGAACACTATGAATCAATCACCACATCTTAACCCTGTAACACTGTGTCGTATTTTTAATTTTTGTGTCAATAAATTGCACAAAAATGCCAGATATTGTCCTCTTGCATACACGGTGGGGATAGCAGCACAGAACAGAGCAAGATCAGTGACAACAGATTTGAGGTTGTTTAGTCAGGAAAGTCAAATCAAAGAATTGGAGTGGAGGTGTGTTGTAAAGTGATGTGCCGATACAGGCCAGAGCTACAGCATGACCAGGTGGATGCAAGGATTTCAGCTGACGAGATTTGGAGTTTGGGGCAGAAATACCACAAATTTACTGCTTCTAGCCTCGTGGCCGTCAGTGTTTGCTGTTTTTTTTAACACAAAAAATTATTTTAAGATGTTAGTTATCATACTAAGCTTTTTAGACCATTAAAAAGTGATTGTCTGACTAAGTTGTCGGTGTGTATCGCTCTTGTATGTTTGGGTAATTTTGCTCCTTTTGCATTGCATTCTCTAATTTAAAGTTATGCAGCCACTTTGAGAAGTATTCAGGTCCCTTCACTTTATTAACACTTCTTTTGTTTCGAGTTTTAAAGCCTATAATAAACAAAATAAAAATATTTTATTTTTTTAAATGTTAGAAAGTCTCCGCTCCACTGAGCAGTACATAAACAGAACTGTTTAGCCAGGACTTTGCAGAAGCAGCTGCAGCTTTAAATCTCTTTGCGAGAGTGTCTGCAGGATTTGGACACCTGGATTTGGGCAGTTTTCTTTCCAGCAGATCCTCTTGAACTTTTCAAGGCTGGATGGGAAAGCATCTCTGGACTGCCGTCTTCATCTCCGCAGATGTTCTGTGAGGTTTAAATCTGGTCTTTGGCTAGTCCACTCAAGGACAGTCTTAGACATGTCCTGAAGGCTCTCCGGCGGGTCTGAATGCTTTCTCAAGTGATGCATAACTTGAACAAATTCATTCTGTAAACCTTTTTTTTTTTTTTTTTTTTTTTGGCCTGTGTGTGTGTGCTTTTTTTTCTTTTTTTTTTTATTCTGTCTTTTTTTGTGCTGCAGGTGTGGTTATGTCTGATCGCTCTGGGGGTGTCCTGGCTCGATCCGAGCACCAGGAGAGGGAACGACACGACCATCCTGATCCAGCGGCAGCCTGAGTTTGACTCATGACATTCGGGTCAAAGGTGCATCTGTGGACAACCTGACTGACTGTGTTTAGCTCCAGATGAAGTCTTATTTAGTCCCAAGTTATTTATACGAGATGTTTGTTGACTTTCAGATGAACTTTGACGTTTGGTTGGTGCTGTACAGATTTTTTTTTTTAATAATGAAGAAACAAATTTATTTGTCACTGTAACTTTATTAAAAGGTAACATGCTGATTGTGAAAAGCTTAGGTGAATTTTAAAGATTGACAGGTTTACAGACGTCTGATGTTTATAATCATTTTTTGAAGGACTTAATATGACAGAAAACATGTCAGGACTTTTTTAAGAAACCAAACAGACTGAATCCCTGTGAAGAAGATTTACAAATGATACCCAGGCTTTTAAAATCAGTGGTTTCATGTTCAGGAGGGAGTTTTAAAGTTTTAAAGACAAATTCATGTCTTCAAAAATGCCTTTCAACAACAAGGCAGTGACGTGCTGGATTTCAGCAGACATATTTTATTTTTACAGCTCACTATCACACATTTGCTCAAGAAGCTTCAGAATCTCAGCAGCATACGGAATCTTCTGACATGCAGCAGAGATAAGGAGAAACTTCCCCAAATGCAGGAAGTCGCTAAAGAAAAAAAGAGGTCAGGAAGAGCCGCTGAGGAAGGATCCAGGATGTTATGCTCAGAAAAGCAACAGTGCAGACTTCCAATGTGAACAACTGAGATGACAAAATTAGACCTTAAACGTCTGAAGAAACTGAATTTATCGGAGAGGTGTTAAGACGTGATGAAAAAAAGAAATATAAAAATAAATGAAGTAACAAAATCAGCTAAAATTGCACTAATATAATTAAACAGGAGAATAACGTGTAAGTTATTAATAAACAGACTCAATTTTTGTTCTTAAACGGCGCTAGAAGTGTGCAAAAACAAAGTTTTCTGGAAGTTCACTTACAAACGCTAAAGACCGCTTCAATCCAAGAAATACAGTAAACAAACATTTTTTGGTTTGGTTACATTTTTTGTATTTTGAGCTAATTGAATTCAAACTGCAGTTTCTCTTTCAGCCACAGGGAGGTGTTGCAGGCTTCAGGAGAGACTTCTCATTTACAGTAAACATTTCACTACCACAGCTTACAGCATAACACATTAAAGGACATGCAGGCTTACATCATGCCCATGTGCAGTCACCAAAAGCAGCGTTACTGTGTGAGACTAAATGACTGCTGAGCGCTGAGACTCGCTGCTGCTGCTGCTGCACATGCCTGTGGTGGTATGTCAGAAGAGTTGCAACTTATTGTGCAACTGAGAGCCAAACACTGCTTGTTTCACTGTTTGAATTCCAGTGCTGAAGTGCTTCGGCTTTGCGAGCTGAGCTGAGGCGGATGAACAGGTTTTTCTTTGCATTGTGGCGGGGAACTTTTTTTTTTTTCCCTTCTCTCTCTCTCTCCCTCTCTCCCTGTCATGGAGGCAGACTTATGTAAGAGGGGAGAGTCTTCCCACCGCCCCTCTCTGTTTTTGTTTTTCTCAATGAGCCAATGTCTCCCTGCCTAGGCCTCACAGCCTGTCCAGTAGGCCCCTTTCCTGGAAACATAGCCTAGCAGAGGCCACTCAGGGGCAGGCCTGTGAGGTGGGAGGGTGGGGTGGGGGGGCTCTTCCAGCAAATCACATGATTTGACCCTACAGTCATAGCTCTACATGAGGCTCAGATGCTGCAAGAACATTTCAGCAGCCAGTTTGTCATCAGCATGATTGGATGCGGCTTTAATGCATGGCAGAGTGCATGAGGCTGTAAGTAGACTCCGTGCATCCCCAGGTGTGACATTTTTGAAGTAGAAACACAACATCTAAAGGACAGTGTGTGTGTGTGTGTGTGTGTGTGTGTGTGTGTGTGTGTGTGTGTGTGTGTGTGTGTGTGTGTGTGTGTGTGTGTGTGTGTGTGTGTTCTTTAAAGTCAGTTATGTCATTTATTTTTATGTTGTTGGCCTTAATGCCAAAATAAACTTGATGAACAGTTTTGCAGAGATTAAAAAAATATATATTTTAGTATTTGATTATGCTCACCATGATATTTAAAAATGTAATATTGATAGAGTGTCAATAATGCACATGTGATAATAATTGTTTTTTTGTGTGCCATTTCCACAGCGATGGTTACAGACTCTCCTTTTGTAGTCTTTGCACTTATTTTAAGTTGAAGTTATTTGCCATAGATTAACATTGTAGCTATTTTTCTCTCTGTATATATTGCAATAATATTGATTCAGTCTGACAATAATTGTTAATTGAAAATCCATTATTGTGACAGCCCTACTTGATGGAAATTCAGTGATGTGTTTCATCCAATCTAAAGCTGATGCATTGAGCTTCTTTATTGTGTGTTTGTCTTTTATATTTCCAGTTACGTTGCTGTTAGAGCAGTGGTTCTCATTCTCAAAGTGGGGTCTGGGTTCGTAGCCATGAAGCAGTCTTTGCCTTCCCAGTAGATACATCTCTGGTGTTAACCCCAAATCATTCAGTTTTAATGCTGAAAACCTGCATTTAAAAATGATCAAACTTACACAAAACTTCACAGTTTCATCAATTTATCTCGACTGTTTTGGCCAATATTAGAACACAGTTGATGTTACTAAAATAATCATTTGCTTTGAATTAGTTAATTGACCTTCATTATATAATAAAGAACACAAAGATGTGAACATTTACACCATCCAAACAAATATCTTGTGCCCTTTACTCCCACTCATTTCAAATATGAGCCAGCAGAAGCTCTGATATGTTGTGACACATTATGCCACGTGTCTGACGTAGAAAGGCTAAAAATAATTCCCACGTAGTAATTTAAATACTAGCAGGATTAAAAGGTGGTTCTGGGAAATGTTTCCAAGAACCCCCTGGTCCCCGGCCCCCAAAAGGTTGAGAACCAGTGTGTTAGAGGTTAAAAAGTCAATGATTGATTTTTTTGTTTTTGGACAAATCTTTTGATTACCCTCGTTATGGTAGAAAGCACCGTAGTGTTTTTATCACTGTGGCTCACCAGAACTCACTGTTTTAATGAGTTTCAATTATTAAAATCATTAACTGTGTTATTGAATTGTAAACAAAAAGCTCCACACTGGGGGGGGGGTAGAAAATGCAATAAACACTAACATGGCTTCACATGTTGACTTTAAAAAATGCACGGGTGCACTTATTGCTCTTAAGTGGTTGCGCTTAGGTCCCGTTAGAGCACTGGAAGATTGGTGGAGGGTTACGCCTGCAGCACCCCCTCAACCCTTAGCCCTTTTAACAGCTGCTGACCCCGCTGCTCTTTTGCTGTCTTGGAGAGGAATACCAGAAGATGAGGGCAGCAGAACGCAGGCACTGATAATGAATTTCAAGTTGATTTAGTAAACAGTGGCATCAGCTTTAAACCACATGACATTTTCAAGCTGTGCGGCCCGTACTTGTTTTGTATATATTTTTACACCGAGCTGTCAGTGCTGCCTTAAAATGTCCCACACCAGGAATGCAAACAGCGGGGCCATTCTTGTTTATGTCTTGCATTGTGGCCGCTGTGGGCACTGGCTGAGCTCGCGGTATAATGGGCCCACATGTGTTTGGAATGGACCGTCTCAGCTGTGTAGTTATTCCTTTTATTAACAAGCTGCTTCTCCGTTTCTTCCTACAGGTTTACGGTCTGTGCCGCTTTCAGTGTGCTTTACATGTGTGTTTCGTGTGGTTAAATATAGCAGATATGTGCTGTTGCTTAATTTCACACCATATTTGCTTACTGTATGCTGCAGGGGAGAGGATCACTTTGATTTACTCAGAGGTCTTTGAGCTTTCAGAGGATGAGGAGGAGGCACTCTGCAGAACCTCCACGCTGTAAATATAAATATCTGGGGACCCGATGGTTGACCACATTGCCTAACATCATGTCAAACCCACTTCTGTTTATTTGAGCAAGGTCAAACAAATGTGTTTTAGTTCCAGCTGCTCAGAAAATCGCTATACTCGGTGTAGTGAAAATGATTATATAACACACAGGATTTGTCTGCAGTTCAATGCAACTTATTCAAATGAAAAACAACTACAACCACAACTGTTTGTGATTTTTTTCCCCCTCCCTCCCGGATGAATAAGTGGATGTAAAGACAGATAGCTTTATTAAATGCCACGCTGCACGACTCTATTTCTATATGATGCAACCATCCTGCAATGTTTATGAGCAGCAGCCTCATGCTAAAGTACAGTAACTGCAGCACAGTCTGAGTGCGTTATTGCGCAAATGTTCAGTGATTGCCATAACACAGTGGCTCCCAGGGCTGGAGCCGCACCCCCCCCCCCCCCCCCCACCCCACCCCACCCAAGCAGTTTTAGGCAAAAAAACAAGTTTCATTTTAGTAGGAAGTGAAATGAAAGAGAAAAATGAAAGGAGCTTGGGTCATTGGTTTCACTCTGCCCTCTCTTACCTCCGTACATGAAGCTCTCCCATGTACTCCCGCATGGGGTTATATCTCTACCAGCAAAGCCTTTCACGTCTCCATGAAGGAAAAGGTGAAAAGCTCTTCCTGTCACATGGATTAAAGGTGATTATTTCAACTTTTAAATGAATCTTGTACAATTGTAAAATACTTTGTTTTTGAAAAGAGACACTTGAATCTTCTTACAGCCAGGGTTCTTTAAAAACTCTTATGTGCTCACGTTTTACTACTGCTACAAACACAGATTCCCTGTGTATTTGTTTAGTGTTTATCACTTTTATGTCCTTCAGTGAGCCCGGTGCTGAGCTCTTCCTACTCTTTTTCTTCTAATCAGAGGTTATGACATTGGAAAAACCAGGAATTTAGGGAGGTAAAGTAAAAGTTAAGCCAGAGGAAAATGCAAATTAGAGGCAGAAATCCAAGTATTAAAAACACTAAAAATAATGATAAAGCAGTATTTGCGGAGGTGCTGGTGGGTGTGTTTATTATTCTGGGCTATAATTTAAAAAAATGGTAGCTGGTCATCTGGTTTAGAGGAATCATTATCTTTTAAAATTCATGGTAAGAGACTGATGAGAAGCCTGGAAGTTAAGTTAGCTCATGCTCGTTTCTCAGGAGGCAACCTATCTTTTGGCAGCAGATTGAAGGTTGTGCACCAGTCCCTGACTCTGCAGATGCCAGCACTCTTAAACCCTTTGATGTCACCCATCATTGTACCTTCTACAAGAACCCTTCAAATAGAAAAATACTTTTTTTT